AAGAATAATTAGACGTAAATGTTGTCTAACATTAATAATTTCTCGTTCATTAATCATGATAAATGTTACGCTTTTTCCACTATTTACTGCCCTTTGTAAATTTTATATTCATTAAGTTTATAATATATAAATATAGAAAAACCCCCATTAAGATTGGTAACATATTATATATGAATCACCAAGTATGAATGTATTTAGTAGTATAAATTATAATGCAATAAATGCTCCCAGGAGCACTCAATGCCGGTTCGTGGTCATTGATAATAAACAATGTTTAGCAATGAATCGCAAATTTCATTTATAATTACCTGGTACGATTAGAATTTTCAAATATATTCGTTAAAATATACTGAAAAATACCACAATATTTTTAAAACTATTACCATTTTACATTACATTTATTAACTAAACATTTTCAGTGAGATGTAATATGATAAAGTATTCATAAAAATTATCACACTTATTTAAACATAACTAATTTATTGATTAAATTAAGTAAATGTATAATTCAAATGAGATGTCAAATCCCAGAACAAAAACAAGTCTATAAATTAATAATTGTCACCAAAATGTTCTATCGTTGATATAGAGCTGCTGTACGGACAAACACACCTTGGTCATAAAACCTATAATAGACTTTAATAGAAAAGTCCCACCTTTGTACATTCTGGTGCATTATTGATAAATAATCTGTCAAAAGATTGTGTGGTATACCTCATAAATTTTAACTAACCTTGGTATTACCTTAACTCTTTATACATAGTATACATAGTACTAATTCTTTGGAAAGTGAGGATCAAGTTAAGTTCTTATATTCCAGGATAAATTACTATTATACAATGAATAATGTATACAATTGTATAATGAATACTTTATTTGTGATGTAAAGATGTTCCCGGTTTTATAAATTTTTAATTAATAAAAAATTTAATTTTTAATATATTGGCAATGTTTTGACAAATAATGATAACTATTTAAATGTTATCAAGATATAGATTCCGGATACAAAATTACAAACTACGTATATTTATAGATTAATTTATTGATTCATACTGGCTATTTTTATATCGATTTTAATATGAAATATTTTCACTAACAATCATCTACTCTAAACAATAAAATTCGTTAATTAAAAACCTTTACAATGATGGAAGAATATTTTTATAAGGCATTTCTAATTAATAAAATTTAAACTCATTATACTCTAAAAGCAAAGTCTACGTGAGGTATATTAAGCTAAAAGCCATACAATATAATTTATGAATGTGTCCTGGTAATTACGTCAGACATAGCCCAATATTTATATCATATATCACAATTCACCTATACACTTTTTATTGCTTAATTGTGTTAATACAGCACTTTTAATATCAAGAATTAAATTTATATTTATTATGTTTTATCATAATTGCGAAAACAGTTATGAATTATTTTAGAGAAGAGAGAAAGAAAGAAAGAAAGAAAGAGAGAGAGAGAGAGAGAGAGAGAGAGTTGAAGATTATGTAATATACTATAAATCATCATGATAGCACAACTAATAACTTTCAATTTTAATTTTAAATAAATATTACTTCACTATATTTTATATAATTTTATTAGTGATACATTAGGATATTATAACAAACAATGATTATCTTAAGTATCAATTCCCACCCTTTCCTCCCAAAACCCAACAACTGGTACCAGAATTTGTCATATTATGTATTTTATGACTAATTAGTGCTAGACTGATTAATTTAATTCCTAATAAATCAATATTGATTTTATCATATCACAAAACGATCTGTCTTACAAGGCATACCTCGGAGCTTACGTACCAGTCCTACCCTTTCTCACTATAAGTGAAATTAATTGATCAAAAAGTATAAATATTGTGAACAAATGTATTAGCGATTCAATAGTTAATTGTGTTTTGCATTCAAAGCACAAGAACTATAATACATTTTTAGGGAATTTTATAGTAATTTATTCCTATAGTCGTTATAATGAATATTCTTCTAAACGTATGTCTATTTGTCTTGTTTTCATCGCTGGATTCAGCGACAGGTTTGCTATAATACATAAATCAAATTAAATTTTAAACTAATTATAACTTATTTAATAGTAAACAGGAGTAATGGCCAATACAAAGTGGTTTGTTACTGGGGCTCCTGGTCCTACTACAGGCCTAATGCCGGACAGGTATGCAAAATCAAACATGAATAATTTATAATTTATTATTTGCCACAATGTTTAACAATGCAATTATTACCATCTCACAAATAGTTCCAACCGGCAAACATGGACCCCAATCTGTGTACGCACATGATGTACGGGTTCGCCAAACTCAACGAGTTCACCAATAAAATCGAGGTGTTTGAGGCCGACCTAGACTTAGGCGACGAGTCCTGGGAAAGCGGTCTTCACTGGGGTCGAGGTTTGTATTAACTTATTATTAACTTACAGTTAATTTGTTAAAAATGTAAATTTGCAAAATACCAATAATTGTTATCTCATTCATACACAACAGGAATGTACCGACACTTCAATAATTTGCGGCAAAAGAACCCAAACCTCAAGACAATGATATCGATCGGCGGCTGGAATGAGGGTTCGGACAAGTATTCAAAGATGGTCTCTAATCCAGAGTCCAGACGAGTGTTTGTTCAGTCATGCCTTGACTTCCTTTTGGAGCACAAGTTTGACGGCTTGGATCTCGACTGGTATGACATGCCTTCCCCTCCCCTAACAAATCACACCATAGGGTAAAATACAGACAATATAAGGCCATCAATACCCACAGGGAATATCCGGTAACCACAGCAGTGGGAGGTGTGGACCGATTGCCGGGAAACGCGGCCGACAAAGACAACTTCATATCATTGGTGCGCGAATTACACGCCGTTCTTAAGCCGAGGGGCTATTTGTTGGCGGCGGCCGTGTCTGCCGGCGCGCCCACCGCTGGCCGCGGATATCATGTCAAAGAATTGAGCGATTTATTGGATTTCATTAATCTTATGACTTATGATTTTAATGGCGGTTGGGATAAGAGAACAGGTATTTTGCATTACAATTAAATCACTAAAAACTATTTACAAAAACAATGTGTCCGTAATATACTTTAGCCCACAACGCGCCCCTATACCCCTGGGCCAATGCCAATGAACAGGACACTATGTTCACCGTCTCATATGGTGTTGACTTTTGGCTCAATGCCGGAGCCGACCCACAGAAACTGGTATGTCTTACAGTGATTAAGGACTTAATCAGTGTTGAGATCTACATTACATGATTTGGTTGAATACAACAACAGGTAATGGGACTCCCATTATATGGTCGATCATTCAAATTGGCCAATCCTGGAGTGTTTGGTCTGCAGGCACCGGCTGAAGGCGCCGGTGGTGATGAGGGACCCTATACTAGACAAGTGGGAATTCTAGGATATTTGGAGGTCTGTTAAAAAGACACAAATAAAACTACCATGCACATTATATAGACAACATAATTAACAAAACAAAATAACATAGATTTGCGACAAATTCCGGACCGAGTCGTGGAGCCGATACCGGGACGACACACAGAAGATCCCGTACGCCGTGAAGGGTAACCAATGGATCGGTTACGACGACCAGACGAGTCTCACCGAGAAAGTGAATTTCCTGAAGAGTCGAGGACTGGGCGGCGCCTGTATTTGGTCCATAGATACCGACGACTTTAACGGCGTGTGCGGTGAGGGAAGGTTCCCACTCTTGACACAGATCAACAACGCTTTGCGCGGAGGTGTGGCTCCACCGCCCGTCCCATCGGGCGCACCGGTCGAGCCCACGTCACCCCCACAGCCAGGACCGGGCGATTTTGTGTGCACCGCTGCCGGCAGTTTCGTGGACCCTAAGGACCCGACCCGTTACTACCAGTGTCTCAGTTTAGGTGGCGGTAAGTTTCAGACGGTTGAGCGCCAGTGCGGACCCGGCACTCAGTTTGACGAGAAGATTGGTGTTTGCGTTCACTCATATTAAATGAGGATAATATATGTCGAACGAAATGAAGCCCTTGTTATCACATTTGAGATGAATTATGTTTAATGTTATGTAAAAATGGTTTTGTTTGCAATACTTGTCCCGAATTCACTTCATTTGGTTTATCTAGTCAAAACAACTTATAAATAAAAATACAATTTTACAAAAAAAAATCTAGCTATTTATTTATTTATTAAGCTATAATTACAGAGCCCACAGGCTATATATCATTGGAATATCCATGTTATTTATACTTTTAGAGAATAACCACTATTTATTCCAAAAATACCAGGACAATTTTAATAAAAATTTTATAGCTAATATGATAGTCATTACTTAAATATTAATTTGAATCCAGATTGATTTCAACCTGTTCAAATTCTCATCAAGTTTCTACCAGGAAACCCAGTGTAAATATCTTATAATGCACCAACAAGCATCTAGATTACTGGACATTACGAACATTTCAAACACACTGTGTAATTTGAGTGTAATATTTTTAATAATTATACCTAAATATCAATAGCTATTTTTAATTCTATAAGATTAATTCTAAAACTCATGGTTCTTACAGTACACCTGCTGCATATTGTTAATATTTATTCTGTATGGTCGTTTAGCTCAAAGCCATCCATCCGTTCATTTAATCATATAATAATATATATCTTTAAAAAGATGGTAATTATTGAGAATCTGTTTAAAATATTTCATACAAGTTATAAAAATAAAGTATAATTTATAAATTAAAATTTCAACATTGAGTGTTTGTAAAAGCAATTATACGCTTATAATGTTATTTATTCTGTATACCTACATTAATTTGTGTTTATAATAATAAAACAAACAAACGCACCTGGTCGATCTCACATTAATTTCATAAGTTAAGTGAAACGAATTAACGGTTAAGATAAACAATCAATCGATATGGTAAGTGTTTTCTGCATATCTACCAAGATAACAAAAGGTATGAAATACCTAACAGCATCAATTAAAACAACACTAACAGTTAAGCAGAGGCTTATATAAGAAGCAAACATTTATCATTACAAAAACATAAAATTGAACCAGTTAAATTTAACAACATATAAACATGAATAAATACATTGTAGCCGGTTTGCTAGTGTTGAGCATGGTGATTTACTGCACGGGCCAAACACTAGACCCTAAACTCAAAAGCTTAACACTCAGTCAAACGAAAAGAGACAACAATTTGGTATTGATTTGTGATCTATCGCTCGAGAATAATCAGGATTTGGCCGGTGTTTACATGCGATACAAAGACCAGTGGTATTACGGGGTAAACATCGGAAACATGAGTATGTATTACAAGTAAAAAATGTTATCAAACAATACTTTATATATGATTTAAACAATAGGAGAGCGTTACGACCCTAATGTGATTGCCAGCGATCGGCTAATAGACCGGACGCCACCCCTCTATGACAGGACCAGTAAATACGGTCGCATCCGAAATGTCATAACCGGCGCCACAGAGTCCGACGATTACGATTGTTGGGTTACATTCAGTGTCAGTGGTATAACTTTTACGCAGTCCTCGCGAGAGGTTATCACCGATCGCCGTATGTTTTTCTCTTTATTACTCAACTACTAATCCAATTCATATTAATCATAATCTAATCTAATATGAATTATAAATCATTAGGATTTGTGAAGACAGCCATATATGACAATAATGTGTTGAGCAGTCGTTACCGCATCGGAGATGACGTTAGCATTCATTGCGATTATCAAATGCAAAACAAAGACCTCTTCCAGGATATCACTGTCAGCAAAGATGGCAACCAATTCTTCAGATACCTCTCACACACTAATGGTAACATTCAGACCAATTCATTGTCATATAAGCATTAAATTAAATATTTACTAATTCTGTATTTTATAAATTGTATATTTAGTTAAATTCACGCCTCGGCAGGGCGTAGAAAATATACGAATGGATGCGGACAACAATAAACAGCTCTATCTTACCATCAATCCGGATGATAAAGCAAATGTGAATACTGGGGGCCAGTACGAGTGCAAGGTCAATTTTATTAATCCCGATGATGTGGACGATCACATAGAGACTCAGCAGCCACTTAATCGCATCAGTTTTTGAGAGTTTTACTAAAAATTATATTTTATTATAAGATTCAATGTTTGCAAAAGTTATATAAAAATAGATTGAAATATTGTATAAAAAATAAATACCAATTATACTTAAATAAACTGTACTAAATTTAGTTAATTTAAACTAGTCAATTGATGTAACTAAAATGTCGCGAGAACCAGGCCCGTGCCATAAATTGCTATCATGATCATATTATAGTTTAATTTAAAACTCAAATTCATATTACAAAAGTATTAATTTCATAATAATTTCATTAAGTTCTGTAATAATAATTAACGGTTTCACTTTCTTTTAAGTTAAACTAATTCAAAATATACATTTTTGTTTGTTTCCAGTTTTAGATTTGAAAATATGCCTTAAATGTCGCTATTATTTTGTAAAATGTTAGCTAGTTTCTTATAAAGAGTGCTACTTTTGCCTTAATTTCCATAAATTCGTTTTCAATGGGGAGATATTTCTTATGGAGAAGTTGTCCCAAGAGAGGTTGCACTGTATTTATTGCGTGAATGCAACCTGTTCGTATTATCATTAAGTTTTCCAAGAAAAACAATGTAAAATATCATACAATGTCTTAACAAACAAGCAACTATGGATTACATTAAATTAAGCCAATTTCAAACACATACAGTATGATATGGTAAGTGTTTTCTATTTATCTACCTAGATAACAAAAGTTGCACACAAAAAAGCAGCATCTATTAAAACAGCAAAAATAGTATATAAACAGCAAACAACAATCATTACTATAAAACATATAAAATTTAACCAACTCAATTTAATAACAAATTAAATATGAATAAATTCATCGTAGCCTGTTTACTAGCGATGAGCATGGTGATTTGCTGCACATCGCAAGCACTAGACTATAAACTCAAAACTTTAACACTCAGTCAAACGATAAACAGAGACAACAATTTGGTATTGAATTGTGATTTAGGGCTCGAGAGTAATGAAGAGTTGGTCGGCGTTAACATGCAATACAAAGACCAGTGGTATTACAGGGTAGACATCGGAAACATGAGTATGTATTACACGTAGAAATTTCTATCAAACAATACTTTACAACTATTTGAATAACAGCTGAGCGTTACGACCCTAATGTGATTGCCAGCGACCGGCTAATAGACCGGACGCCACCCCTCTATGACAGGACCAGTAAATACGGTCACATCCGAAATGTCATAACCGGCGCCACAGAGTCCGACGATTACGATTGTTTCGTCACATTCAAAGTCAGTGGTCTAACTTTTACGCAGTCCTCCCGAGAGGTTATTGTCAATCGCCGTATGTTTTTCACTACTACTTCACTAATAATACAATTCATATTTACCATAATTTATTGAATTATCAATATTTAGGATATGTTGACACAACCATCTATGACAACAATGTGGTGAGCAGTCTCTACCGCATTGGCGATACGGTTAGCATTCATTGCGATTATCAGCTGAAAACCACTGACACCTTCAGGGATATCAGTGTCAGCAGAAATGGCAAACCATTTTATCGATACCTATCCCACACTAATGGTAACATTTATAACAATTCAATGTTATATAATCATTGTATTCAATATACACTATATCTATATTTCGCAATTCATTGTATATTTAGTGCAATTCACGCCTCAGAAGGGCGTAGAAAATATCAAGATGAATTTGGACAGCAATAAGCAGCTCTATCTGACCATCAATCCGGTCGATAAGGCAAATGTGAATACGGAGGGACAATATGAGTGCAAGGTCAATTATATTAACCCCGATGGTGCCGATGATCATATTGAGATCCTACGGCCACTCAATCGCATCAGTTTTGGAGAGTTTTATTAAAAACTAATATAGTATATACAGTATTTTTAAGATTCAATGTTTGTAAAAATTATATAAATATGGATTGAAATATTGTATTAAAAATAAAAACTATAATTATACTTAAACTATTCTGTGGTTACCTTGATGCAACTAAAATGACCTAAAATTTAGGACATCTCGATAAATTGCAACCATGTTTATATTCTTATTTAAGTCAAAACAAGTTCCAATTGCATAAATTCCATAACACTGTTACATGTTATTAAAATTATTCTAATATTTAATTTCAATAATGTTTTACACTAAACCTTATTAATAAATCAGTTTTATTAAAAAAAATTGCACTCAATTTAATATAGTATATTAAATTACATTTGAATTAGAGTCTAGTGACTAGACTGACAACATTTTATAAATTTTAATTGTCTTTCTCGTACCGATTCCATTGGATCCCCGATAGGGTTCACCACAGGAATCCACGTAAAGCTGATTGGTTTATAACAAAAAGATATGTTCGTAGATTACGATTATACCCCTTGGTATACCTGTTATATATTGATAACATTTATGACAACACGTAGTGCAACCTAGTCTAAATGCAACCTGTTCAAATTCTCATCAGGAAACTACTACCAGGAAACCAAATGTAAAATATCTTAAAATGCACCAACAAACAAATATCTAGATTACTGGACATTACGGACATTACGAACATTACAAACACACTGTGTAATTTGAATGTATTAATAATATTTTAGTAAAACAATACTATATAAGATAGTAAATTAATTTCACTTTTAATAAAAACTGTTATTAATTTAGTTAGAAATAATTCAGTACTTTAAAAATGATTGGTTATATAGTATTAATAATTTGTACGTTTGGTGTATTACCTGGATCTTTGTGTCAATCCAAAGCCTGTGTTCCCGTCAAATCCTTAACACTCGAGCCATACAAGAGAGATAACGATTTGGTACTAAACTGTGATTTTCAATTCGAGTCATACCAGAGATGGGATACCGTTTATATGCGCTATAAAGACCACTACTATTATGCTGTAGACGCCGCCACTCTAAGTATACAACCTTTATATTCATAATTAATATAAATTAATATTAGTTAATATTAATTAATGCAAACTATAATGAATACAGAGGAGCGTTACAACAATACCGTGATAGACAGCACCAGGCTCATTGATCGGGTGCCACCACTATATAACTCGACCGTTAAATACGGACACATTCGCAATGTCATATCAGACACACCACCATCTGATGACTTTGATTGTTACATCACTTGGTATGACGGAATCGGCACTTACTGTCACCAATCCTCTCGATCTGTACCTGATCAAAGTAAGTTCTATATCATTAAAAACATGATCATTTAATAGTGACTTATTTCATTACAACTTACTTACGCTCATAGGGTCTATAAAGACCTCGATTCTGGTAAACAATGTATTGAGCAATCAGTACAGTGTCGGCGATGACGTCAAAATCCATTGCGATTATCAATTGCAACCTAAAGACACATTCTTCGACGTCCAGGCCATTAGAAATGACCGCACTTTCTACAGATATATCAATAAAGACAGATGTAATGTTTATATTTATATCATCATCAGTTTTACACACATAATTTTTAACCATATACATGATCTATTTACCACAATTAGTTTTCTTTACGCCCCAAACTGGTATCGAGACCATCAGAGTAGATGATACTACTAACCAACGATTATGGCTAACCATTAATCCAATCAATAGGGCAAACGCTTACACTGGCGGTCAGTATAAGTGTCAAGTGAATTATGTCAACCCGGATGGTGGGAACGCTAAGATTGAGCATTTTGTACAACTTTTAAAATTAAATTAACAAGCTATAGAGTCTAATTAAAAGCAAATCAAAATGCTTGTAAAACAAAATTAAAATAAAATCTATAACATTTGATTTTGTTTCAAAAACTAACACCAATATAAAATTATTTTTAACTATTCCTCTATTGATAAAGTGATAAATTAAATAATAAATATACTAATTATGTACTCAATACATAACTACTGTATACTGTTATAGACTAATGTGTATAACAATCGGCAAACAATTGAACAGAAAATACAAATAAAGAAAAATTATTAAATCTTTTATAAGACAACAAAATAATTCAACAACCTGTTCAAATTCTCATCAATGTCTACCAGGAAACCCAATGAAAAATGTCTTAAAATGCACCAACAAACATCTAGATTACACGTGGAATTAAGCATATTTCAAACACACTCTGTAATTTCAATGTAACATTTTTAGCAGAACAATACTATATAAGATAGTAAATTAATTTCACTTTTAATAAAAACTATTATTAATTGAGTTAAAAATAAATTATTTTTTATTTTAAATAATTCAATACTTTAAAAATGATTGGTTATATAGTATTAATAATTTGTACGTTTGGTGTATTACCTGGATGTTTGTGTCGATCCAAAGCTTGTTCTCCCGTCAAATCCTTAACACTCGAGCCATACAAGAGAGACAATGATTTGGTACTAAACTGTGATTTTCAATTCGAGTCAAACCAGAGATGGCAAAAGGTTTATATGCGATATAAAGACCAACCCTATTATGGTGTAGACGCCGCCACTCTAGGTATACAACCTTTATATTCATAATTAATATTAATTTATACAAACTAAATAACTATATAATGAATACAGAGGAGCATTACTACAGTGACGTGATAGACAGCACCAGGCTCATTGATCGAATGCCACCACTATATAACTCGACCATTAATTACGGACACATTCGTAATGTCTTATCAGACACACCACCATCTGATGACTTTGATTGTTACGTCACTTATTATGACGGAGTCGACTTATGTTGGCAATGGTCCCGAAAGGTGCCTGACCAAAGTGAGTTTTAAATTACCAAAATCATAATCATTTAATTGTAACTTATTTTATTCAAACTTACTTACGCTTATAGGAACAATAAAGACCTCGATTTTTGTGAACTATGTATTGAGTGATCAGTACAGTGTCGGTGATGTCGTCCAAATCCAATGCGATTATCAATTACAAGCCAACGACACATTCTTCGACTCCCGTGCCATTAAAGACGACCGTATTTTCTACAGATATATCAATAAAGACAAATGTAATGTTTATATTTACATCACGATCAATTTTACACGCATAATTTTTACCATATACATCATCTATTACCACAATTAGCATTCTTTACGCCCCAAACTGGTATCGATGCGGTCAAAGTTGATTCCAAGACTAACCAACGATTATGGCTAACCATTAATCCAAACGATAGGGCAAACGCTAACACTGGCGGTCAGTATAAGTGTCAAGTAAATTATGTGAACCCGGATGGTGTAGACACTAAGATTGAGCATTTGGTACACCTTTCACTCGTCTAATTAAAAGCCAATCAAAATGCTTGTAAAACAAAATTAAAATAAAGTCTACAACATTTGATTTTGTTTCAAATACTAACTGTAATACCATGTAAATGTAAAATTACTTTTAACTATTTCTCTATTAATAAAACCACAAATTAAATAATCAATCTACTAATTATGTACTCAATACAAAACTGTTATAAACTGCATAACAATCGCAAAGAAGTGCACAGAAAAAAGAAAACAGTGTCTAATAATTAAAAGAAAATTATCATTTATTAATTAATATAAAAAAAGTGAACATTTGTTTAGTGAATATATCAACATATATATTAAATGACAAAAATATATATTTGAAATCTAATGAAATCACAACAAGAAATACAAATGAAGAAAAAAATCATTAAATCTTTTATAAGACAACAAAATAGTTGCCAAAAACAGAGCTCTCATTGAATTAAAACAATGGATGAGAGGACCGGAAAATGGGTGGAAAGGGTTGGGGGGACTGGAAGACAATGAGGACAGACAACACACAGGTGTTTAATGGAGACTGTCTTCGCGGTCTTCGTTGGGTTCCTCGCCGTCCTCATCGAACTGTTCCTCGTCGTCGACCTCCAACGCCTCGTACTGTTGATACTCGGAGATCAAGTCATTCATATTAGACTCGGCTTCTGTGAACTCCATCTCATCCATGCCTTCGCCGGTATACCAGTGGAGGAAAGCCTTGCGTCGGAACATAGCTGTCAAACATCACCACAAAAACAAAATAAAACAACTATTAATTACAAACCAAACACACAATACTCGGCACCCAATTCCCAACACCTGTAGTCCTAACCCATAAAACCTAAACATCAAACAAAACTCAATTACCGGTGAACTGTTCGGACACTCTCTTGAAAATCTCTTGAATAGCGGTAGTGTTGCCGATGAAAGTGGAGGACATCTTGAGACCTCTGGGGGCGATATCGCAAACCGCTGTCTTCACGTTGTTTGGGATCCACTCAACGAAATAACTGCTGTTCTTGTGCTGGACGTTAAACATCTGTTGGTCCACCTCTTTCATAGACATACGGCCGCGGAAAATGGCCGCCACTGTCAGGTAGCGGCCGTGTCTCGGGTCGCAGGCGGCCATCATGTTCTTGGCGTCGAACATCTGAGTGGTCAGTTCGCCGACTGTCAGCGAGCGGTAGTCCATCGAGCCTTTGGATGTGAGCGGCGCTATACCGGGCACAAAGAAGTGGAGTCGAGGGAAGGGCACCATATTTACGGCCAGTTTGCGGAGATCGGCGTTCAGTTGGCCCGGAAAGCGGAGACATGTGGTGACGCCCGACATTGTGAAGGCCACGAGCTGATTCAAGTCGCTATAAGCGGGTGTCGTCAGCTTAAGCGTACGGAAGCAGATGTCATACAGGGCTTCGTTGTCTATACAGAAGGTCTGATCCGTGTTCTCAACCAATTGGTGGACAGAGAGGGTCGCGTTGTAGGGCTCGACCACTGTCTCGGAGACCTACAGTTCGGGCAAAACAACACGAGTTAACAAAAACACATGCAATCAACGGGAACAGGAGGGGAAGGGAAAGGGTATTAGTCTACAGTACACTAGCCATACCTTAGGCGATGGCATGACGCTGAAAGTGCTCATAATACGATCGGGGTACTCCTCGCGAATCTTGGATATAAGTAGAGTGCCCATCCCGGAGCCGGTGCCGCCGCCCAGCGAGTGACACAACTGAAACCCTTGGATGCAATCGCAACCCTCAGCCTCTTTGCGCACCACATCCATCACGGCGTCCACGAGTTCGGCGCCCTCTGTGTAGTGCCCTTTAGCCCAGTTGTTGCCGGCGCCCGACTGGCCGAACACGAAGTTGTCCGGACGGAACAGACCGCCGAACTGACTCGACCGCACCGCGTCCATCGTGCCCGGCTCCAGGTCCAGCAAGATGGCCCTGGGCACGTACGTGTTGGCTGTCAACAACAATTACCATGATCATTAAATTGTTAATACATAATGCAATCACTATTAAGACATAGATGTTATATAACAATGACATACACGACGACTCGTTGTAATAGACGTTAATCCTCTCGATCTGATTAACATTGTCGCCGTTGTAATGGCCGGTGGCGTCGATCCCGTGCTCATCGCTGATCACTTCCC